TTATGTTGTGGGAGTAAATGTAGTTATTATACTTCAAGACTTACTACACAGATATAAAAATAAAGCTCACAAAATTTAAGGCTAATTACTTCTTAAAATTTTATGTTAAGGCCTTTGTCACTGATAACGTGGAATGAGAATAACATGTTTATATAAAAAGAAAGAAGTATTTTTCCACAAAATGAAATATATTATGAGCCCTATCCATATATACCCAAACTAAAAGTGGGTACCCGATCTAAACTCTTGGAGAACTCAATTTGATAAGTGTATATTTTCCTGGAAAGTCAGTAAGAGATGTGAATCTGTATTAGTGAAATTCATTTTGTCTCTAAATGAAGAAGGCACATCATTTGTTCCACTTATGAGTTGCAACATGCTTAAATAATTCTAAAAATGAGCTGAGAGAAATGGCGTTTCATTCATGCAAGTTTCATTTGTAATTAGCAATTGGCTATCATTGGGAAATATTGACTGAATAACCAAAGAAAAAGAAACTTACCTAGTAAAGAGATCATAGCAAAGGACAAAAAGTTGATCCAAACAGAAGTAATTAAAGCAAAATGAGCAGGAGAGAAAGATGATAGGAAAAAAAAAATCAAGTTGAATAAGCAATGATTCAAGTTACACAATGATTTAAGTTCATTACAGTATGGTACTACTTATGCAATATGTTACAATAATATTGTTCCAGTTTACCGGCAAAATTGACTTAAGGGCAGACCTTGGGGATGAAACCTATTCTTAAACTGGGAACTACCTGTATATAAGTTGATTTTAATTCTCCGTAATTTCCTGTGCATTATCTAAAAGTAGAATAAAGCATCTGTTTATAATCAGAGTTTCTGCCTTTTTAAATATAGTTTAGGTCATCCTTTTAAAATAACATAAAATTGCAAATAAATCTACGTAGTTTCTACTATTTACTACTGATGTTCATGATAATATAATGCTAAGGTTTACCCTTGGCTCAAAGGTTCTGTCTGAAATTTAATATATTGGATGTATGTATATATATATATATACATATATATATATATATATATATATATATATATATATATATACATACACATACACACACACACACACACACACATACATACACACATATGTATATATCTAAGAATCTAAGTGGATTAGAAGAAGCTTATTTAATACATTGTCAGCCCATGGGATATGAAGATTAATTTGGATAAGGCTGGGCCATTTTTCAGAAACTTGTTTTTCTGTAGGAAGGACAAAAACATGGAAAAGTAACAGATTGGACCATACACATAGCTTTCGTCAGTCTAACATTATCACTGAGAAAAATGTAGCAAATTTATTTAAAATGGTTTGTGCATGAATGCATGAACTGAGAAATATGTGCATATACACAAAATAGAGTTGTGCTTATTCTATTATATAATAGCTTGTTTCATGTGGAACTAGCAAAACAATGCTTATCCATTATGTAGAAGGAAAATCAATTTTCCATACTAGCTTTATTAGATTGCCTACCAAGAGTTACTCAGTTTCTCTGAAGGGTTTAGAAACTACTATAAAAATTGAAGCTTTTTTTTAAAAAAAAATTGTCACATTTTACATTGTAAACGTTAACTAATATGCTGCCTAATGAATCTGTGTCTTTTCACAAGACTCAAGTGCATATGGAAGGCAGTGAAGAGTTTTGATACATTGGTGGATATACACTTGTAAAATACGTAATTCTCATACTATGTCCAGGCAATAGAAAAACTGATGATTGCTGAAACCAACTCAAGAAAGGTCTTTGAAAACTGTACCTCAGATGCAAACCCAGTTAATGCTTTCAAATCATGTTTGAAACCTACAAGTTATTCTCATGCCCTACAAGTTCAATGCCAGTTTAAGGCAGCACAAGGCTGGAGGAATATGAAGTATAATGTAACATGTAACCAGTGATATCAGAGACACTTTTGTCTAAACTTCCATAATTTTTGTACATCTATGTTACAGATACATGGTACATCAAATGACTTCACTCTATATTATGGAGTCCTGGGAACACAAATTTTGGGGTGGTAACCTCTCCATAGTACCAAAATATTAATGATTCAAAACTGAATTTCTAAATGGTAACCAAAGCTAGCTAGAGATCTTATGTATAAATAGCACAGTGCATTTAAGGAAATAATTTAAGGAAATAATACAGTCTAAATGAACTAGGAAACAATACAAGTAGTCCTCAATTTACAGCCACAATTTGGACCAGAATCTTGGTCATTGAGCAAAGCAGTCATTAAGTGAAGTATCATATGACTGTCCATGTGACTGCTTCGTTCCAACAACCACAATCCCGGCACTCCTGGTTGTGGTCTTTAAACAATCATGTGGGTTATTTAACAGGTGGAGTCTTAGGTAAGGAGCATAAGGTTTCTTGGGATAGGAAGCTCTACTCGGGAGCTGAAAATCCTGCCTGCTGAAATCCAAATAGGATTTTTATTCCATGAGCAAAGAGAGACTCATGTGTGGTCTGCACCAGGCTTCCCAGGCTTCCCTCCTCCTCCCCCCCCACTCCTGATGGATCTTTACCTTTCTGGGCTGACTCTCTGCTTGAATTTTGGCTCCTTTTACCTCAGGGGGCTGGCCAAAAGAGCTGCCTGCTGAATGTTCCCCTCCATGCATGGAAAGGTACTTCTTCAGTGGGGTGCAGAAATGGAAACCATTTCTTCGGCCATCAAAGGAGTTCACCTCCCCTCTATGCACAGAAGGGAACTCCTTTGGCAGGGTATAGAAACAGCCACAATCTTTGGGATTTCAGCTCTTTTTCTATGAAAGATTCATCACCCCTCAGGAGGCAGCTCTTTCATCCAAAGACAAAAGGTTTTCTAGGCAGTTGGTAGCAACTTGCAATCGTCCCTTTTAGTTACCCCATTTCCCAGCTTCTGTGTAAGGTGGTAGAGAAGATCAGAGATTGCAATCACATGATGATGGGATGCTTGGTAACCTGCACTTGCAAGCAGGTTGTCAAGCTCCCAAATCACCATCATGGGATTAAAGAATGATAGTGCAACATTTTGCAACTGTCAGAAGCTTTACTAAAGCACCCTTTCCAAAGCTATCATAATTCCAGACTGTTATTAAACATACAGTCATCTATCAAGGACTACCTGTATTATATCACAAAAGTATTCAGAAACTTTGTTCCTCTTCTTACTGTGTACAGATACTTCTGTCTCTTGCAGAAAAGCCAAGTTCCTATTGTTGCCTGAAGTAGTAAATAATAGAATGTTATGTTTATACTAGCCACAAAACCACTACTCCGGAAACACATTGGTACCCAAGGACTGTAGAGTTTTCTCCATGGTGGATTTAACCAGCTTGCTTAAAGTACATGGCATAAAGTACTGGATTATAAACTGTCTTTCTATAAATAAAAGTTTGGCTATTGTTTTATTGGGCTGTTGTACATTTTATTTAATGAATAAATAAAATAAAAAGATCCTCCCATCCAGTAAGGGAAAAATGGGTTTTTTTTTTTCTCCCTCCTCCTCCCTTGCAAAAGAATTGTTCATTATCTGAATAACATGAATGGTCACAAAGAAAGAGGACAGAAGAGGAATTTATCAAAATCCATCAATCCAATTTCTTTCACCAGAAGCAGCCTTCACTATAATCACAAAGTTCCCAGAAATTGAAAGGATTCCTTACACATACAGCAAAGCACCATTGGATAAAATCTAGAGCTCTCTATAGCAATATGTGGGACCCACAAAGGAAAACCCTGAAGACACTTAATTTCTAATCAAAATATAGTATACTTCATCCCCACAGGGTAACTGGGAAGTTGTATGCATCTTATGTATTCCATCATTATACAGGTATTATAGATCCTGTAAGTCTTATCCTGTTATGCAATTTATAACTGCTTTACAAAGCATTTTGAAACATAATTTAGGGAAATTCCTATTTTGTGCTTTAGATTTCTGTGGGCTTCGATTTTCTGCTACACATTTCTTTCTTGCTTTGGGTTCATCATTATTCAAGATGTTTGAGAATAAGGGGGAAAATATATGCCAAATGTAATAAATAATCATAATCAGAGAGAGAGAGAGAGAGGTTGCAGAAAAATGTTATTTAGCTGACCCTAAATATACCTTTAGGTTTTATGTAGTAATGTGATCTTGGAATATTAAGCATAAATAAATGGAATCATATTTGCATTGACATTATTATATAAGTTTCCAGTGACCATTCAGAATTGGTGGGAGTCGGGTGACATATCATTTAATAAACTATGATTGATTTGCCAGGCCATCTGATGTTTAGACTGAATTTTACACTTTTATCCACTTATGGAGTCCTTCCCAAGGACTTGAGATAGGCAGATGTTGTTTGATGGTGTAAACCATATTGTTGCTGTTCCAAGTAAAGCTGCCTTTTGCAAATGACTGATGGAGATTTCGTCAGTGCTAGTGATGTTCAAGTATTATTTGCAATAGTGGTGGATATCTGTAGGTTGGGTGTAGGATGAAGGTAAAGGTTCACCTTCATCCTTGTTCAAGTATTATTATTATTTCAACACAATATTTTTCCAGCATTTAGAATAATTATCCTGCCAGACTGGCAAAATATTAATGGTACTATTACAGAATATGGAATTAATAAAAGAAGATATCTCTAGATTTCAGTATTCATCCTGATTTATAATCTGCTGCCCCGGTAAAGAGCATCTCTGTCTTTACTCAAGATGTGTTTATACTCTTTTTTGCAACTTTTTTAATTTTCAAAACTCATTTCATTCAAGAAAGCCAGGACACATTCAAAATATGAAATACTTTAATTGTTGTTGGTGCAAGAAGGACATGTTTCATAAACTTTGGGCTACAAATGCTCAAATTATTCAGTCTCAGCCTTTTGTTTCCAAAGTTCCTTTATTGGATAATGCGGCCTTTTCCTTTCTGCATGCAAACTCAATGCTGTTTGTTCATTTAGTATTGTTAAGTATTTGCCCTAATTTATTTTCCTTATTATAGGCAAGCAGTGTTACACCAAAGTCTCCTTCCACCGACATCTTTGATATGGTTCCATTTTCTCCCATCTCCCCAAAGCCATCAACACCTACTCGCAATGGCACTCAGCTTCCACCAGTGCCCAGTAGATCTACAGACATCAGTAAGTTCTGGAATGCCTTGACATAACCTAAAGCAATATATGCCTACTGTGTAGTCATTGCTCAAACCAACAAGCTAGCTAAAGGAGAATTGCTTGCTAGAACGTCTTACTAATGTTGCATCCTGGATATGCATTTCAGGGAAAAACAAGAAAACGAAAATTAAATCAGTCCCAGGATCAAAGGCAGTGCTCTAAAACACAGGGCCCCACCCCCCAGTCAATGGACCTGCACTGGTCCACAGCATGCCAGAAACTGGGCCGTGCAAACAAGCGAAGCCTCATATGCAGGTTGCAGACAGCACACGAAACCACAACCCACCCACCCCGGCCTACAGAAAAACCTCTCTCCCCAGAACCGATCCCTGGTGCCCAAAAGGTTGGGAACTACTGCTCTAAAATTACAAGCTGAGAAGAGCTTTTCATAGTTTGCCCTTTGAGAATATAGCATAATGCTCAGTGCAAATTTGAGTTGTGGGGGGCATTTTGCCAGTTGTTCGAGTATGTGATTTTATATACACTCCTCCTTTTCTGTTGACTATGTTTTATTCTTTCTAGAGAGAGACCTTTTTGGAGCAGAACCTTTTGATCCATTCAGCTGTGGAGCAGGAGATTTTCCTCCAGACATCCAATCTAAGCTAGATGAGATGCAGGTAATTCTAAATGTTTACAATTGTGTAAATATCAGATGTGAACACTGGAGGAAATGTGGTAGATTTAGCCAGAAAAAAACTTATCCAACCCTCCTCCCCCATCTATGTGTTATACCTACAGTACATATATTTTATAGTCTTTTTATAAAAGAGGGAATAAAAATACAATAAAATGTTCCTTACACAATTTAGTGCTAAATTTACTTATCTGTTAAATGTAAGTAATGATTCTATACATTTTTATATTACCTACATATATTTTATAGTGCTTTTATAATAGAAGGTATATAATAAAAGCATGATAACATATTCCATATGTATTTTCCAGTTCTAAATTTAATTATCTGTTAAATGTGCATTTTATTGATATTGCTAGCAATAATTCTATTATTTCTTCTTTGTGCTTTCATGGATATGCAGCGTCAGCGATGGTTGGTATATTATTTTCTCCATATGTTTCAATTCATTTCTACTAAGTTACATCATGTTGTACATTTTGTTGTAATGATGGCATCTGTAATATGTGAGTTGGTATCTGATTTCCTACCTGAATCCTGTTAAATGTTTCTCTTATAGTATATATATAACATTTTGAGTAAAATTTTGGGCTAAATCGCCAAGAGTAAAATTGGGAAATGTCTTGCTCACTCCTTTTTTCTAATATTAACTTTTTCCTTGACTGAATAAATAATTAGCCTCTTGAGACCTAATTTAAAAACTTACCTATATAAAAGACCACTGTGTATGTGTACATCTCAGCTATAATATAGATTTTTTACTTACCTATATAATATCATTTTTAGAAAGCATATAGTACCTTTTCCAGTACCTATTTAAGCTGATATCCATATATAACTGTACATCTTTGTAGGATGAAGTCAGAAGTTATATCCCTTACTCTTTCTCTTCCATTGTGAAAAGAATATTTCTATGTTCTTTAGCTCTTTAGTATTTCAATTGTAAAAGAATAGGATGGTCTTTCAAAATAAGACCTCCATAGTACCTTTCCTTCATGTGTATTTTAAAAAAAACATTGATGTAAATGAATTGTTCCCGAAGCATGTTCATTGAATGATCTTGTATCTTGAAAATTACTTTGCAAAAAACTCCTTGGCTAATTCTAGTGCAGGACACTTTGACATATTAGAGCATTGAACTTCTTTTCAATTGGTTCTGCTCACCTACTACATCCAAACATAGAGTGGGTGCACTCCTGGTCCCATCTAATAAACTTTATCCCCTTATGGGATGGAAGAAGTGGGCCAGCATCTCCTCTCCTATGTTCCAGAAATCTGGGAAAAACTGGCTTTAAACCTAAACCTGGAGTTGATGGATTACTGTTTGTCTAAGGCCTCTGATAGATTTTTGTTGGTTGTAAGATTATTTCAGTATGGGCTTCCATTTGATGTAATGTGTTTATATGTTTTTATGGTGTTTGTTTTTTCTGGTTTTGTATGCTACCCATGTTAAAATAGATGTGATTTTTTTTCTTCAAGTTCATAAGGAGGTCTGAAAAAAAGGGAGCAGATTAATTGAACATTAGAAAGGTGTTTTGCTCCTGCAAGCACTTGTCTTACAAGCATTTTCAAAGAATACATATCTCAACTAATAGTTGTAAAACAGGGACATATCCATGATCTCACTTAAATACAGGTGATTAGAAAAGAAAGGAACTGGCAATGGGGATAGTTTTCATGCAAGTATACTATTCTCTTAAATACAGGTAATCCCTGAGTTACAAGCGTTCACTTAACGCTCATTCGAAGTTACATGATAAGCGCCCCCTAGTGCTTATGAGCAAGTCCTGAAATTACGAATGTTGCTGTACCACGGCAGTCATTCGCCCTTATGAGTAACCACAGTAGCACTGCAACATTCACTCTGGTTATTCCCTCCCTCCCCACCCCTCCCGGGTCTCTCTAGGCACCAGGCCTTCAATATTCACCCCGCGAAGATTGAGATCCTTCACTTTCTTGGCTGCTCCAGGCCTTTGGTGCATTTGCAAAGAATAGAGGCCTAAAGAAAATGCAAGATCACGCAAGATCAGTGGGGCAAAATCTCATGGTACTTTAGGCCTCTGTTCTCTGCAACACAGAACAGAACTGGAGCTGTGGGATGCTTCCACATGTGTCTGGAGGCTGGATCGGTGCTTCGGAGGCCTTTTCCAGGCCACTGCCACCTGGATCCGAGGCCGAGGGATGCTTCTGTGGCCCTCCAGTGGCTCATTTCCAGGAGATAGTGGCCTGGAAAAGGAATCCAGTGCCCAGATTGGGCTGCAGGGAGGCTGCGGAAGCATACCCCAGCCTCAGATCTGGATGGTAGCAGGAACCGCAGCAGAGAGGAGACAGTGTAGCAGGAAGGGAGGGGGAAGCATGAGGTATCTTAGTGTGTCTGGGAAGCCTTGGGGTCCTGTTCCATCAGTAGGCCCTCCATGGCCTTCCCCACCCTGTGATATGTCATGTTCACTTAACAAGCTGCGTGCATCTTAACAAGCAAGAGAGTGATCTCATTCGAGGTACGAGATTCACTCCCACAAGTTTTCGAGTTACGAGTGGAATGGGCAGGCTCCATTGCACTCGTAAATCGAGGACTGCCTGTAACAGATGGCTGGACAGCCCTTCAACTCATCAATAGAGAAGGGGCAAAATGAAGTGATGCAGCTCTGAAAATTTGCTTCATTCAAAGTTTTGCACTGTGTGTCACATGCATACATGTATTGTATTAATTGAGATTTCTGCCATTTTTGTCTCTTATGTTAATAGATGCCTGTACGAAATATACTATTTTTTTCAATATATCCTTGTCCAGGATAGTCCAGAATCTTATTTATTTGGATAGATTACTTAGAGCTAGTTAATCCAAAAGGACTTTTCTTTCTATTGTAAGTAGTGCCCATTACCCACAGGATATATGACAGAATTTCCCATGTGCCTCTGCCTCTTGGTCTGAATGAGTGGAAATGGAAAAATACATAACAAGTTACATGATTTATCATTCCCCATTACATTAATTAACCCCATTGTTAATTGTAAAGACATTTGGAGAGTTGTCATCCAGCCCATCCCCGGTTGCAGGAATGGTGCATTAGAAAATGATCAGCAACAAAGAGCAAAATAACGAAGACTGTTGGCTACTATAGCAGGCCACATAAAATTTCTGCCTTGTAGTTGAAGATCTACATATCTTGATGCAATATAATGGTCAGATGGTCTATTACGAGGATGGATCCCAATTTCTTAAAAGCTTTGGAGCAATCTAGTCTGGCTTGAAAGCAAACATAACTATCATGAAGTCAAAATGTATCTGGGGGGGGTCTCCTTTCTCTCCAAATGTGTTGGGCAAAGTATGAGACATGGGTAACCATCTACCCAATAACCAGGAGAAACATATATGTAAATCAGAACGGTGCCAATGTTTTTAGGTCTGAAATTACATGAAATTATGTTTTTTAAGACTGAGATATGGTGTCTTACTTTATTCTCTGTTCTTACTCTGTTCCAGGAGGGGTTCAAAATGGGACTGACTCTGGAAGGCACAGTGTTTTGCCTTGATCCTCTAGACAGCAAGTGCTGATTGTCAGGAATAGACATTTAAAAATATACTATCTTTCTTTATTTCTTTTTACAAAACTTTAAAATGTATTACAAATATTATTGATGTGCCAAAAATGTTTCTCAACATGTTATATCCTCTGTGAGATTTGCTTCTTCAAAACTCCAGATAAGTTGCAGTATTATTCCTGTGAAATGAAAATTTACTCATGTACAGAAAGCTAAAATGAAATCACACTGCTATTTGTTTTTGATCTTCCATATTTTGCAAGTCATTCTTTGTATCTTTTGGCGACTCACTTGTACAGCATGGGAACCCATCATAAACCTGTGAGAAGTCTTTTTAAAGTCTTTTTGTTACACACCACTTTCAGACAGCAAACAAGCACTTGGAACTATGATTGAAAAGAACAACTTTTAAAATAAAATCCCTATGATTGCTTTCTTAATTCCACACAAATACTGTTGCCAATATCAAATAACATTGCAGGCCACCCAGATTCACCTGGCAGCGAGATGGGCGGCAAACAAATTCAATAAATAATAAAAAATATGAATGTTTGCACACTCCTGTAAACAATTACAGTGAGACTGAGAACCATAGTTCTCCAGCGTGACGAGTGGAGAATCCACCAATGGGTTAATTTCATCTTCTGCCCACAGACTAGTCGTCCAATTTTGCTCCGCCTCTCCTCCTGGGACCTCCCTGACCCAGTCTCGATTAGTCTTGAGCCCGTTTAGACTGAATTCTTGACTCCTGAAGTGATTCTTCTTTAAGGTCGTATATTTCTGATATTTTGGTCAATCCGTGGGGGGAGGGAGGAACTGCAAGAATGAACGGCTGTTCGTTTGAGCCCTTTCTGCTGCTGGATTGCAGCTCAGCCACGAGGCTGGCCTGAGCCCAGCCAATCACAGGACAAACAAGGAACCAGACGCCATTTTCCGGTCACCAAGTGTGACCCTGAACAAAGGGAGAGACAATCTCCTCCCCCCCAAACCAATCATCCCACAAAGCTAGCCAGGATAGCCAAAGCAAATTCAGAATACATTAGCACAGCTGATCAGCAGGCAATTTAAACCTCCCGCAGATCATAAGGAAGCCAGCGAGCCACGTGGGAACAATAGGGGGCTGGTGAGCTGCAGAGGAATATCACAGCTCTCCAAGGCTCTTACCCTAAATTCAACTAAAGACCTTGAAGGCTCCTATTGTTTTCTATTGCCTGAAGCGGGGATTAGCTGGTCGGGCAGAGGACTTTTAACCTCCGCAGCTCCCTCACAGAGTTTCCCTGCATCTCCCCAACTCCCTTGCAACTCACACTGACCATATTCCACTCTATACACGCGCAGTTGTTTTTTTCTTTGGGCAGTCTCCAGGAAATTCAGCTGAGGGAGACATGAGAGAGACTTGGGTTCGACCAATAACAACCTCAACTCACCCAAGCTCAGTCCTTCTTTCTAGCCACATAGGAATAATAATAATAATAATTAAAGTAATAATAATTAAAAAATAAGAAATAAAAATAAAAAATAAAAAAAATGATATTAATAATAATAGTAATAATTGAAGAGCACAAGACATAGATCAGCTCACAATTACCCTGAACCAGACCGGAATTGAATTTTATTCCAGTTAAGAATGGCAGATACCAGCACAGTTCAAACAGTGCAGGAACCTGCCACCACCAGCCCACCTGCTCGTAAAAGACAGAGATCACCCAAGTAGGAGGTGGCTAGGAAGATCAAGGCCAAGGCAACATCGGCCAAAAGGCCTTCCAAAGCAGTGGATAGGGAGGCTAAGCAATATCACCAGGCTCTAGAGAGACAATTCTCCCGAGCCAAAAGGAGACAAAACTCCACTGAAGATGAATTAGAGCCATCCAATTACAGGGAGGAGGAAATTTTTGGCACAAGGAAGCCCAGCCAGGAACCTCTGAAAACAGAGGCCGATATGGAACAGGGAAACGGCTCTCCCCTAAACAAGGGGCCTGGAGATCTGGGTTCAGAAGTAGGCACCCGTTGCTTAGATAATCATGGAGCAATGTCTTCAGAACACCTTCAATCCCTGATATCTCAGGCTGTCACACAGGCCATGGCCTCCTCAAGATACCATTGTTCCAGAACAAGGTCTGTGGCCTCTAGGGGTGGCTCTCGCTTTTCTCAAGAGGAGGCCTCTGAGTACCAAGACTCTATTTCCTCCTCCAGGTCCTCCAGAGGCAGGAAGTCTCCTACGGAGGACCATGAGCTGATGGATTAGAGACTGACCGACGAAGAGGATGTATCTCCAGATCCTCCCCCATTTGTAGGCCTGTTTAATCCGTCCTTATTCAAGACACTGCTACATAAAGCCAGTGGCACTACAAATATAGAGAGGCCTCCGATTCCGCAGAAAGAAACCTCCACCAATCCCTCAACTAATAAGGTCACAAACAACGAAGTGTTTTCACAGCCCACCTATACCCAACACTTTGTCCCCTGTCCACCTCTCTTCTTTGATTCTGTTCAGAACAACATGGGGGCACTGGGTTCCTTCCTCCCATGGGGGGGGGCAGACAAGAAAATGTTCAACATAGATCCAGCACTATCAGAGATAATAAAAATGCCAACAATAGATGAACCCATTGCAACCCTCTTTTCTCCACCCCTGATAGCCGGGGATGCAGCGGAGGCCCTGAAATCAGAAGACAAGAAGATGGACCTCATCTTCCGCAGGGCACACCAGGCCTTGGCGTGGGCAATCAAGGCAGGCATCACTATGTCCTTTTTTGCAAGGACATCTCTTCTTTGGCTGCGCCAACTCCAGTTGAGTATTCCCCCAGTAGAGGAGAAAACTCACCAGAATTTAAGAAGGTTAGTGGCGGCTGCGGAGCTCATGTCAGGTTCCTCCTTACACGCAACCAATTTCTCTGCCAGAGCAATAGCATACAACACTGGTGCACGCAGATTGCTGTAGCTCAAGCACTGGACAGCGGACATGAAGGCTAAGTGGTGTTTAGCGGCAGCACCCTATAAGGGTGGCCGGCTCTTTGGTGAGGTGCTTGACCCTTACTTAATTGAAAATAAGGACAAACGCAAAATCCTGGCCCACCTGACAAAGAGGACGGAGAGGAGAGCTCCCTCCTATTCCTGCAGACCGGCCTTCCGACCTGATGCAGGCATGGATCAGGGAACCTTTTCCTGTCCCTATCAGCCCAGATTGGACCATCAAGGTGAGAGAAACAATAATAGGGACAGGTTCAGACAACAGGCCTAAGCAAGACGGCCCTTTCGAGGAGCCAGGGGGCATCCCTACCGCAGATCCAAGTGATGGCCCAGGGCCCCCCCATTGGTGGTCGGCTAGCCCTTTTTGCCCACAAATGGCAAGCCACCACCATGGACCTCTGGGTCCTAAATACCATCAGATTCGGCCTATCCCTAGAATTCCTCTCAACAACACTGAACTGGTTCATTCCTTGCCCATCTCCAAAAGATCTGATCAAGAAGAACCTCATCTGAAGGAAACGGTTACACTCTCACAGCTGCTAGGAAAGATGGTGTCATGCCTCGCAATTGTACCTTGGGCAAGGCTACTCTCCAGAGAGCTCCAGTGTTTCCTACTTCCATTCCAAAGAGTGGGGATAGGCTCCTCAAACCAAAGAGTGAAGGTGCCACCAAAGGTCCTGAGGTCACTCCAGTGGTGGTCCTCCCCAGTGATGGGGAAGGGACACTTGTTCAGGGAAGCTAACCGAGTCACCCTTATAACGGATGCCAACCTATTCGGCTGGGGAGCACACCTGCAATCACAGCTAGCACAGGGTCAATGGTCAAAGAAAGACCTAAAGCACAACATAAACTGGCTAGAATTCAGAGCCATACACCTGGCTCTCCGTCAATTCCACAGCGCAGTGGTGCATCGACACATGCTCATACTCACAACGTGGCGGCCAAAGCGCTTGTCAACCGACAAGGAGGCACGCACTCCAGGGCTCTCATGAACGAAGCACAAGCGCTGGGAACCTGGGCACACAACAACCTAGCCTCCATCAAGGCCAAGCACATCTCAGGAGAATCCAATCACCAGGCAGACTTCCTGAGCAGGACAACGATAGACCACTCAGAGTGGAGCCTGCACCCTGCCCTCTTCAGAGAGGCAGCAGAGAGATTCGGCCATCCAGTGTTGGATCTGTTTGCCAGTCCAAAGAACACTCAGATTCTGAGGTTCTTCTTTCGTTTTGTGACACCAGGAGCAGAGAGAGCGGATGCACTTCGAGGCCACTGGTCGAAAGGACTGCTGTATGCATTCCCACCTCTTCCTTTGATACAAGCAACCATCAGGAAGATATTGCAGGAGCAAGCGGAGGTAATACTCATTGCACCGCACTGGCCAAGATAGCCGTGGTTTGCCGATCTCATAAACCTATCTACATCTCCACTGTGGAGGATTCCACACGACCAAATTTCCCTCAACCAGGGATCCCTGCTACATCCAGACCCACAGTAGCTCCAATTGACCGCCTGGCGCTTGAGCGGAGTCTCCTAGAGAAAGACAACTTCTCACAAAGAGTCATTAAGCCTCTCCAGGCCTCTAAAAGGCCTACAACTAACAGGATCTATGATTCCACTTGGAAAAATTATTGCGGTTGGTGCAACAGGCAACAACTAGACCAATGCAACATCTCTATCCCAGATATCTTAGACTACCTAGCAGAAGGCCTGGATAGGGGGTTAGTACCCAACACAATTCGTAGACAGGTGGCTGCCCTATCAGTCATTCTTACCTACGGCAACTCTGAAACTTTAGCCAGAAACCCAATGGTGCGATCCTTTGTAAAGGGCGCATCTAACAGCAGGCCACCTGTGGTGCATAGATACCCTTCCTGGGATCTACCTAAGGTCCTACAGGCCATAATCTTACCTCCATTTGAGCCTGCCAGGACCTGTAACCTATAGTACCTGACCCTTAAGGTTGCCTTCTTAGTCGCTGTTACCTCAGCAAGACACATCTCAGAACTAGCAGCCCTGTCAGTGAGGGAGGACCTTTGTACCTTCCACATGGATAGGGTGGTATTACGTTTGGACCCCTCCTTCGTTCCAAAGGTCAATTCCCTATTCCACAGAGCGCAGGAGGTGGTGCTGCCAAACTTTTGCCCCAAACTGTCCCATGAACTGGAGCGCAAGTGGCACACCGTAGATGTTTGCAGAGTTTTAAAGCAGTACATCAAGCGAACGGCACCCTTCCGTAGATCAGAAGCACTGTTTGTCTCCTTCCACTCTCACACAAGAGGTCGGAGGGTCACTGCATCCACAATCGGTAGATGGATTAAAAGGTGTATAGCAGAGGCATACAGGGGACAGTCCTTGATGGTCTGCAGACAAATCACTGCACATTCCACGCGCAGTGCTGCAACCTCAGCAGCATGGGCAACTCAGGCTTCGATTGAAGAAATATGTAGAGCGGCGACGTGGACGTCACCTTCCCCTTTTATAAGACACTACAAATTAGACAGATTCGCATCTGCGGAGGCCTGCTTTGGCAGGAGAGTACTCCAGTGCATAGTATCAGAGTGGGACACAGGGCCAGATGGCATCCCACCCACAAGGACAGTAAGGCTTTGGTATGTCCCATTGGTGGATTCTCCACTCATCACGCTGGAGAAGGGGCGTTGGTCTTACCTGAACACCTTTTCTCAGCGTGACAATGGAGAATCCACTCTCACCCTTGAGGCCAGTCAGGTCCTGTGAGGGGAGAGGATGGAGTCAACGCAAGAAAACATAGCCAACTAGCTTTCGCCTCATTGAGACTGGGTCAGGGAGATCCCAGGAGCAGAGGCGGAGCAAAATTGGATGACTAGTCTGCAGGCAGAAGATGAAGTTAACCCATTGGTGGATTCTCCATCATCACGCTGAGAAAAGGCGTTCAGGTAAGACCAATGCCCCTTCCAATCTATATAACCTGCACCTATATAGCATAGCTTCCTAATAAGTTGTTATTAAGGGCCACAAATCAAGCTAGGTTTCTAATGAACTGCTGTGCCCCCAATTCATGATAATTTTGTGAGTGCACAGCATTTCTGACTTAGAAGTAAATGTTAAAGGCAACCTCTATGCTTCTCAGATGCATTGTATTTAATATACATCTACTAAATGAAATAGATTGTTATTTTTAAAATTGCGATATCTAATCTCTAACTATGCCAAATATTAATATACCAATTATTTTCTATTATTTTATAATTTAAAATGTAGTTCCTAACGATGTATTTGATTAGATTTTTCACATTCCAGAGGGTACTTGGAAATGTATACACATCTGAATTTTTCAGTAACAGTCATATAATAATTAGCTATTTTGAACACACACACACACACACAAACACATCCATGTGTACATAGAAACATTCCCAATGTTCCACACTATTTTTAAAATTAAAGCCCAACCTACGTATTTCTCAGCATCGCTATTTGCAAATCCTATTGTGAAGGTTAATTAAAGGTGTGCATGCTAAGGGCACTGCTTGTGGTGCATGTTAAATTGCTGTGTACATGGCAAATTTTCAATTTTAATTGCAAAGATTCCATTACAATAGTGATGGCATTCAAAAACCTAAACCACACATATTTTTGAACGTGATCTGAGGCTTCTGGTGCAGTTGTACTGTTTGGATATAAGAGCTTTGTTCCTTTCAGCCTTGGGTTGTCACCTGATAATTCAGTGCAAACCACTTGGAATATCAGGGCAACAAATGGACAAACAATTTCATTTTGCATTCTAACACAAAAATTACAAATGAATATCACGGGAGAAATAGAGATAAAAGAAACTTAAGGTAGGTTTTTGATGAAGGCAGATTGTAGGTTTATCATTTGTAAGGGATCTCTGCAAGGGAGCTCACTACTGAGATAATGTACTACTTTGTCTCTGCATAGCAATAAATGAAATTTTGGTTATGCATTTCTTTGTATTCATAAATTAAGTTGCTTGTTCGTTTTTGGGTTTTTTTCCCCATTTTTACCAAAAGTTTGTTCAAGATGTACAAAAAAAAAAAAAAATTACCTTTCTGGGAAAGTTTTTCTCTCCTGTTAGGAGCCTTTCACTGTAAAGAAGATTGGGGGGGGGATGCTTTTTATATGAAGAGAAAGATAAAGAGAAGTGCTCAGGAGAAATGGGAAAGAAACATAAGAGATTATTTTGCTCACTTTATTTTTCGGGAGAAAACACCCTAATGGTCTGGTACTTGGTTTGCAAAATAATAGTTTTTAATGTTATATTGCAAGGTTTACATGCATATTCACAACATAAAAAGAAAGCATTTATGCAATGGTATTTACCTTTTAAAGCTTTGTTCCAATCTCACAAAATACTTAAGCAGATGCCTAGGTAACCTGGAATTCTTTACATGATTAAAATTAGACAGCTGCCTAGCTGTAAGCCTTACTGAGTCCTTTCCTATACTCTTGATTTGTATTAAGTCTTCCTTTATTATTTGGTTCTTCCTTAGTATTTGCATGTATATCTATACCTATGCTCTGAATCCAAAGAGGATGGAATGCATTTATTCAGTGCTTCTGATTTCCCACTTTGTTTCTGGATATAGATCCTCCCATCATATTAAATTCCATTCCAGAAGGCTCCATTGTTTTATGGGGTGTTGGGCAGGGTGAGAAGAAACAGAGCCATTGGGAATAACAGCAAATAGAAAAATGACTCTTTGGATATTGGCCCATGTGCCTGTCAATATAGATATATATGAGATCCACTAATGAGTAGAATAGGCTCTGTATCATAGACACATCAATAGTTTTGTTCATCAAATAGTATTTTGCAGTTTGTACAACAATGATGTTTAGTAGCCATATGAATGGCTTTTTTAAACAAATAGAATTTGTATTTTTATCATAAAGAAAGCTTTACGTAATAGGCATATATTTAGAGGCCATTTACAAGGGATATAGAAGAACATTCAGAAAATATTTGCACCTTTTAAGAAAGCTTTTGTTTTACTGATTTTTATGGAAATTGGTTTGCAAATTGCTAAATGCAATTTAACTGATTCAAAATCAGTCCAAGAACTCTAAATTAATACAGCAAGAAATTACATTTTTAATGAAAACAGTTTTAGTGCTTTAGTTGAAATTTGTATTTCTATGTAATCCCAACTGTCTGTTTTATTTTGCTTCAAATAAATGGTTTAATTAAACTTGCATCATTGAATGGAATCTTTATTTAATATAAAGACTGGGGGGAAGGGACAGGCAGGGGGAGGAGTGGCATATAGAGACCCAGCATAAAGCCAGAGGTTAAGCTACTGGAAGGAGTAGGGAGATCCAAGTTCTTGTTTTTTTCTTAAGCATGGCAGCAGTCTGGTTAATCTTGAGTCAGTCACTCTCTGTCAGCCCAGATAAGTATCAGGCTCTTTGACAAGATGGCTGAAAAACAAAACTCCCTCATCATATCATGCATTGATAGGTTGGCTATCAATGAGCAAACACTGTGTAAAACACGGGGACACTCCAAGCAGAACAAATATTAAGAAAAACAACAACTCCATGGGAAGGTTGTGGTAATATCATTAGGGTGTTTAAATCAATATGCATACACAATGTAATCACAAAAGTGCATTAAAAATAAAGTGAAGTGCAATATTTATACATGTGTGCTTATTTGTAAGTTCTCTGGGGCTATGCATAAATCATAGAATATATGTGGTGATTTATGTAAGTTCTGCCTTTACACTCTAATCAAAGTAAACTTGCAAGAATAATCAAGTCCGAGTTGAAACACCCATGAATGAGATGAACTACAGAACTTTACCCTCAGGATACATAAAAGTAGTGGTTTAACTAGAAGGGAATCAGTGTTATGTGTGGTTTCCAGGGGTTTTTTTGGGAGGAGGGAGGGTTGCCTCCTCAGCAATATATTTTTGCATAATTGAAATAATTTGTTTAATGTATTTCACCTTGCATATTTCAGATTATTAGTTTCTTTTACTGCAAAAAGTGTGGGTTTTTTTTTTACTTAATTCCTCTGGAATGTAAAAAAAGACTGGAGATGTTCATTCCTACACTCTAATATGCCCAAATGATTCTGCCAGGATTATTTTTCTGCTCTAGCAGAATGAAGAAGGCACTATAATTCCCAGACATCTTTAGTCAGGGCACAATCCCTGACCAAGAATAGCTACAACTCTGCATTTGGAATTAGGGCAGAAGCATCTCCCAACCAGTGTGGGAGGTGACCAGGGTGAGGCCAAGGGAGGGGCCAAAAGCATCATCAGTCATGAGTCCTTTCATGCCCACAAGAGATCAAAGTCCAGCCCAATTTGAATTCCTTCTATTTTTAATTCCCACTAATTTCCTTTCACTGTTAGTTCAGATTCTTGTAGACAGCTTAAGCTTACAATAAATCTTTACACACATTTGAAATGCCTGGATCTCTTGGTGCTTGACAACCGGCAACTTTTCAAATTCAACAATGGAGGCCATCAACACCTGCCCTGGAAACCAGCCTTTCAGATGGCTTTAACCTCCACCAAGACAAGCTGGTGCTATGGTTAGATTCTTGCTTTATGCCCAAGATAGTTGAACATTTTATCACATGCAAGATGCTATATTTCAAAATTTTATGTCCAAATCCAGAAATGAATTTGGTACAAATTGGATATATACAAGACACTAAGCATCTTCTTCATCTGCACCCTAGAGCAGGGGTTCTCAACCTTGGCAACTTTAAGACTTTGTGGACTTTGCTGGCTGAGGAATTCTGGGAATTGAAGTCCACAAGTCATAAAATTGCCAAGGTTGAGAACCCCTGCCCTAGAGGAATATCAGTCGAATGGCCTATTTCAGGGGTGTCAAACTCGTAATGTCACGTGACATGTCGCAATGTATTGTGACTGTTTTTCCATTGCTGGCAATGGGGTGGGTGCGGTTTCTCTATGACACATCTGGCCCATGGGCCGGCGGTTTGACACCCCTGGCCTACTTGGTTCCCTAGGGAGTCATCCTGGGGAGAAGAGTAACATGATTTGCTGTCCTAAAGATACCCAGGGAATGCATCACACTGGCCTCCTTAGCCAGCAATAAACTCTGTCTTACTGGCATCATAGTCCATCCAATCAGAATGGACTATTTTAGCAACTCTTGTCAGGTGGAATACCAGTAGGTATGACAAGGCACTTTAACTTTAGCTAGGCACCTGGGAATATTATTGTAGGATATCCCTTCCCTCTCAGCTATACCTTCAGTGACTGAGATTGTTAGTTGGACTTACTGCAAAGTTCCCTTCTGGTTATTAAAAAGATGGGGGGACATGATAGCAGTGTTCCAATATCTCAGGGGCTGCCACAAAGAAGAGGGTCAAGCTATTCTCCAAAGTATCTGAAGGCAGGACAAGAAGCAATGGATGGAAACTAATCAAGGAGAGAAGCATCCTAGAACTAAGGAGAAACTTCCTGACAGTTAGAACAATTGATCAGTGGAACAACCTGCCTCCAGAAGTTGTGAATGCTCCAACACCGGAAGTTTTTAAGAAGAGACTGGACAGCCATTTGTCCGAAATGGTATAGGGTTTCCTGCCTGAGCAGCGGGTTGGACTCGATGACCTCTAAGGTCCCTTCCAACTTTACTATTATTATTATTATTATTATTATTATTATTATTATTATTATTATTATTATTATTATTATTATTATTATTGATCATTGCACAGTCAGCCAGATGTTCATACTGGATTTGGCATTTTGTCTACCTATCGAGTCCTTACCCAGGACCTGGGATAGGCAGATGTGGATGTTTGATGGTATTACAGGTATCGTCGCAGGATGGAAGCAGTTCCTTGTAAGGCCGCCTTTTGCAATTGACTAATAGCGAATTTGTCAATGCCAATGTGTTCAAGTGGTGCTCCAGTTGTTTTGGGATTGCACCCAAGGAGCCTATTACTATTGGTACTACCTTTGCTTGCTTTTGCCACAGTCTTTCTATTTCTATTTGTAGGTCTTTGTATTTTCTTATCTTCTCCAGTTCTTTCTCGTCTATTCTGCTGTCTCCAGGCACTGCCACGTCCACTATCCAGACTTTTTTGTCTTTCTTATCGACAATTGTTAAGTCTGGGGTGTTATGTTGCAGGTGCTTGTCTGTTTGAATTCTGAAGTCCCAGAGCAGTTTAATTTTATCATTTTCTATGACTTTCTCTATTTTATGATCCCACCAGTTTTTGCTTACATGCAAATGATATTTTTTGCAGATCTTCCAATGCACCATTGTTGCTACTTTGTCATGTCGCTGCTTGTAATCAGTCTGTGCAATCTTCTTGCAACAGCTTACCAAGTGGTACACTGTTTCTTCAGCTTCTTTGCATAGGCGGCACTTACTGTCTGTTGCTGTCTTCTCAATTTTGACTTTGTATGCATTTGTCCTTAAGGCTTGGTCTTGTGCAGCCAGAATTAGTCCCTCGGTCTCTTTCTTCAATTTTCCTGCTCTTAGCCATTGCCAGGTTTTATTATTATCTGCTTTCCCAGCTATTTTTTTCATGTATTGGCCATGTAATGCTTTGTCTTCCCATGCCTCTATTCTGTTCTTCATTTGGTCTTTCTTGTAGGCCAGTTTGGTCTCTCCAGTAGTCAGTAAGCCTTCCTGATATACTTATTTCAGTGCATCTTCATCATTGTTCTTCAGATATTCTTCCAAAGCCATTTTTTCTTCTTCAACCATCTGATGTACTTGTAGTATTCCACGCCCACCTATTTGCCTTGGTAGATAAAGTCTATCAATGTCACTGCGTGGATGAAGGGCATGATTCATTGTCATTATTTTTCTGGTATGCCTATCCATTGCTTTTAGTTCTGCTTGAGTCCAGTCCACTATTCCAGCTGTGTACCTAATGACTGGGATTGCCCAGGTGTTGATTGCCTTTATGGTATTTCCTCCATTGAGTTTGGACTTTAAGATCTTCTTCACTCTCTTGATGTATTCACCTGTAACCTTTTCCTTGACTTCAGTGTGCTTGATGTTGTCAGCTTGAAGGATACCCAAGTATTTGTAGTACTCTTCCTCATCCAGACTCTTAATGTTATTTTCGCGGGGCATCTTGATTCCTTCAGTTTTCACTATTTTTCCTTGTTTGATAGCAAGTGTGGCACATTTGTCCAAGCCAAACTCCATTACAATATCTTGGCTATATATACAGACAGTGTTGAGCAGCGATTCTGTTTCAGATGATGTTTTTCCATACAGCTTCAGATCATCCATGTAAAGGAGGTGGGATAGTCTGGCAGATGTTTTTGATGTTTGATAGCCATGACCTGAGTTATTCAGTATTGTTGACAGAGGAAACAGTGCAATAACAAATAGTAATGGTGATAATGAATCTCCTTGAAATATTCCTCTCTTGATATTAACCTCTCCCAGCCTCTCACCATTGATCTGCAACTGTGTCTTCCATTGTGCCATCGATCTTTGCACAAATTTTCTGATGTTTCTACTGACTCCTGTTATTTCTAGGCACTTTATTATCCAATCATGTGGCAGAGAGTCAAATGCCTTTTTGTAGTCAATCCATGCCACATTCAGGTTGGTCTTCCTTCTCTTGCAGTTTTCCAAGATCATTTTGTCTATTAGGAGTTGATCTTTTGTTCCTCTGCTATTGGGGCGGTTTCCTTTCTGCTCAGGTGGAAAGAGATTGTTTTCAACTAGATGCTGTTGTACTGCATCAGCTACCACACCAGTTAGTAATTTGAAAGTTGTTGGTAAGCAGGTAATTGGCCTGTAGTTACCTGGTGTTGCCCCTTTTGCTGGATTTTTCATTATTAGGTAGGTTTTCCCAGTTGTTAGCCACTTTTCAATTTCTCCTCCTTGTAGTATATTGTTGAACTGCTTGGCAATGAGTGGGTGTATAACAGTTAGATGTTTCAACCAAAACCCATGCAGTTCATCTTCACCTGGTGCTGACCAATTTTTGATTTTCTTTGCTCTTTTTTCTACCATTTTTGTTGTTATTACTAGTTCTTTCATTTCAACTTCTGTTTTATTTGCATCCACTTCTTTTAACCAAGCCGCATCCTTGTTGTATTTCTTTGGGTTATCCCATATCTGCTTCCAGAACTGCACTGTTTCTTCCTTGTCAGGTACTGACTGATTCCTTGCAGTTTCTCCATTGATGGATTGGTAGAAACGTTTCTGATTGGATTGAAATTGGAGGTTCTGCCTATAGTTTGCAATTCGAGCTTCATATCTACTAATTTTCCTGGCTATAGCTGTTATTTGTTGCTTTATTATTTCCAGTGCTTCCTTGATCTTCCTTGTTTCTAAGTGGTATTTCCGAGCCGGTATGGCATTCTGAAATTTACGTCTCACCATATTTTTTATGGGAGAGACACTCTTTGTCTGACTCCTCTGATGAGACCTGTCCAGTATGGTTGAACCTCTGGCATAGCTCTCATCTTCCTCAGAGTACACAAGCCCCACAACACAGTCAAGGTAGTGCCTCACTGGGGGTATTATTATTATTATTATTATTATTATTATTATTATTATTATTATTATTATTATATTGCCAATAGATTCCCCCAAAAGTAATGGACAGAAGCTAATTTATACAGGAGAATAAGAAATAATGTGTCTATTGCTTCCTTAACACTAGCATTGTTAAGATTGATTTATCCTAGGATGTAGGCTGGCTTATTTTTTTTTCTTATGCCAGTGGCATGTCTTTGTGTATTTACTTGATTAATGAACTCTATTGACGGAAATCAGTAACGGGGGAGTGAGTGTCAAGGCAATGTCAGGTGATTTCAAGCAGCATTGTGGCCTTTGAATGCAAAGTCCATTCTTTTTTCATGGGCATTGCAATGTAACAAGCCCACGCATAAAGGGTGGAGGTTGTGCCCCACACCATTACACTCCTGCCATTATATTTAAAACAGGAAGAGCTTGCACATTGAAGTCAGAGCATGTGTTTGAAGAGGAGAAGTTTCTCCAGAGATGGCAAAAGGCTAAGCCCTGTTTTTTAACTCCAAGAGATGGAATTCTTTCTTGTTGGGCTCATCTTTCTGGTGAACAAAAGGATATTTCCTAGTAAGCTACATAAGATGGGACTGATATTTGGGGTTGTTTACTTTTGCTTTCCCACTCATAGATTGTAGAATTGCAGCATTAGTAAAATGCTGCTCAAACATTAGTAGAATCCTGTTAATGTTGAAGTGTTTATTAATGACCAAATGCAAATTGATAAGGCAGGGGAAAGAATCAAAATGAATAGAAAGAACTGCATGCACTGCAATTTCCACTTTAATTTTAGTTGGTTTTGTTTAATCTACATTCATCAGCATTTTCCCCTATATTTTTGTTCAACTTTTCCAATATGGTACAATTTCCTTATTTCTATATTTTCAAGATGAAAGTATTATCAATAAATCAAAATTTGAAAAGGAAGTACAGGGGATGCTGGGTTTTTAAATTAAAGTGTAGACATTCTTCCTCATCCTTGCACCAGATCAGACCATTGGGAGATTAAACCCACATGTATGTTTTAAGGTCAGCCTAAAGTATAAAGTGCAGCCTGTTAAAAGCATGGTGGTTATTTTTCAAAATGATGCTATAGATTCCAGCTGTGAACATGCTGGCTTGAAAATCAACCTCACTTGTGGTTTTCTTCTCCCTTCAAGAATTCCAATGGCACAAAGAACATTGAACTGTTGTCTGTAGGCATTGATGATACTACTGTGCTCAATATTTTACTCTCTAATTATTAAATCAGCATCACATGTTAATTGTATAACTAGCCCAGTCATCAATTTATAGCATTGGAGGATATAGTTAAAAGAACCATGCTTCATTTCACCATCATTTTTGAAGTACTGACATCTGCAAATTCTTTTTTGACATCAAGTTTGGAAGAACGTTGAGATTAGAAGCTTTGCTAGTCCTAGAACAATGCTATCAGAATCTTTACATCAATTAAGAGCAGTATTTTCTAGTACTTGAAGGTCTGTACACAAGTTTTCCCAGTAATCTTCACATTACTCAAGAAACTAAGCCAATATTAAACATTTTCCATATGATGCAGATATGTCAGGACTAAAGAGGATAATGGCATGGTTTGTTGGAAGCCACTTAATAAATTGCTGATTAAAGCAAATTTTGCATTTGGGGTGTGGGGTGTGGAGTGGGGAATTTAGTTGCCATGCTCTTAGTCTCTAGGCTGCATCACATCTCATTCCCTCTCGCCCACTCACTGCCTTCTTTAAGCAGGGGAGTCTTCCATATTTCCAATGTACCTTAGCCTCATTCTTCCAAGTTACTGATGTATCAAAGTGAAAGTTTTAAGCCTTAGAAATATAGTTGTCATTAAATAGAAAGCATAACAAATGCAGTTTCAGATGTGCTTTCTTCCTGGGCATTCTATTCCTTCCTTGCAACCCTCTCTGAGCATGTTTGGTTCATTTTAAGGTAGGTTTTCTCTCTTTGGGAGATGTGTTTTGTTTAAGGTTTTTTGATCCTAGTTTTGGTGATTCTTTTTGCTTTATTTTATAAATCCACAGCATTTAGTCTCCCTCCCTCCCTCCTTTCTTTGTGGATGATCCGATTTGAATTTGAATTTTTAAATAAAAAGTCACTATTTTTGGTCTCGTGGTATAGGTGCTGGCCTAGAAAACAGGAGACTGAGTTCTACTCTCAGTTTAGGCATGAAAGCTGGCTTGGTGATGTTGAGCCAGTCATTTTCAGCTTAACACACAGGGTTGTTGTTCCAGGTAAAAAGGAAGGCAGATATATTAGATATATTCACCACCACCTTCAGCTGACCAATAAGCCAAGACTGTAACAAAAAGAAAATAGTTTTCAGTATTTATAGGTAAGCTCATTGCAAACAGATTGCTCTTTCAAAAGCAAATAAACCTGTCACTGCTTCATAAATAAGTCTTCTAAAAAAGGCCCAGAGCTTGGCTGAGATCACATCCCCAGAATAATTCTGCCTGTCTGGAAATTGTGGAAGCAATGTGGTTTCTTTCTGGACTAAAAGGATAAATAAAAAGTATAACTAAATAAAAAATGTGTTACAACACTGAGGCCAAACTCTGTATCCAAGGATATTTATGTGCTAATAAGCCTAGTTAAGAGTACTGTAAAATAACAATGTCCATGAAGCTCCATGTATTGTCATAACAAATAAGAGAATATATGGCAATATGTTTTTCTTTGTTTCCAGGTTTTCTAAATAATTTTTCTTCCCCTTCTTCTCACACTCCTAGTCAGCGAGAAGTCAATCCTAACTTTAATCCTTTATATGGATGATATAGATTACACAATAGCTATTTATTAGACTACTAGTTGAAGATATGAATTCACAAAAATGAATTTATTCAGAAAGGGTACTTACATTAGAAATTCAAAATTGCGACCCAAAAGAGGCCTCTGTAGCCATGTAACTTGGATTCAGTCACTGCGGCCATTTTTAACTCTGTGATGTGCCTGTGCTGTTCAGGTTACAAATGCAATTTACTGAAGCCAGAAGGGGTTGGTTTTTTGTTTTGTTTTGTTTTTGTTTTGTCCCTGGTTACCTGGTCAAATAAGAGCCAGTGATTTTTGCAGCTTGAGGACTGGAATATTAGAATTGCTTCTGTAAGTATTTAAAATATTTTGTTATTGTTACTCTATAGTATAAACTGCTCTTCTTAAAAAGTTTGCAAGCATTTTGGAAACTGCTCTTCTTTTTAAGTACTATACTTTGCAAACTATTGTTTGTAAGTACAGTACTGTGCAAAGATAAAGTTTGTTTGCATTTTCCTTGCAACTACTTGTAGAAATGCTAGCCAGCATCTACACAAAGCATTCTATAATTGTGTTTCCTTGCTTTTATTTTGGAGATTAGCATTTATTACTGTACTTTGTAGGTTTTAAATTTAAATTGCCTCCAGAAGTTGCTGGGGCCTCATCACTGAAAGCTTTTAAGAGACTGGATAGGCATTTATCAGTAATAAGCTCTTGTGAGAGCAGTGAGTTAGACTAGAAGACCTCAAGGTCCCTTCCATCTCTGTTACTGTTACAAGCTGACAGTTCTGTAAACCCCTCCCCCATCTCCCTCTGGGTGCCTGGCTGGAGACTCTTAAGTTAATTAGTGGCAAGTGTTTTTTTTTAAGCAGACTAGCAACGAGTGGGTTTTTTTTTTTTAAAAAGCAATTGCAAACAGAGCTCTACAGCCTGCTTGGAGGCAATTTACTTCCTGAGGGGAAGGCTGCATCAGAAACAGCTGATGGGTGGCCCGCAGCAGTGGGGAAAGGCTCAGTTCAGGCAGCAATCAATTTACAAATCAGAGGAAATATTAAGTCAGATCTTTGTTCATTTAATGATCCATTTGATTCAATTAATGAATTTGATTTTAAAAATTTGTAAAATTGAGTCTGATTCATTTGACAATTTTTTTGACTAATGAGCCTTAATGGGCAGGCTCCATTAGTTTTGTACCTCGAGGACTATCTGTATTTTCATCTGGCCATTTGACTAAAAGTATCTGAATAGTAACAGGATTTAAAAAAGTATTTATTCACATTGTTTCCCAATTGTTTCAGTAATAGGAGACTTAGAGACAGATGCTAATAAAAATAAAATTTTGGCCACTTAGGCTCTTTACAGGCCACTTGGTTCCCTAAAAAATGGAGTAACAAATCTCATGTAATATCTTTGCTCAATCTACTGTCTTCACAGGAAGAGTTGCAATGATCTGAAAAAAGTTAAAATAACTGGGATCAGCCTTGGTTGTGTGGAATCAGGAGACTTGGGCAATATAGTGGCTGGTTATTTGGAAAGGACATGAGATAAAAAAATGTTTGTAACCTTCAGAATTGTTGGACTCAGTGGTCAAGGAACTGAGTGTACAACATCAAAATCTGAATAGAGCATGAATGGACTAAGTATATTTGGGTAAGGAATAGGGCACAGGTTGGCAATCCGCAGCTCTGGAGACACATGTGGCTCTTTGAGCCTTCTCCTGTGGCTCCCAGTCTCCTCTGCCATTTGCAGAGAGAAAGAGACAGAGAGAGGCACTTGCGCTTCCCTGCTTCCCCCCCCCTCTCTGTGTGTGTATGTGTGTGTGTGTAAAAAAGAGAGTGGCTTCATGCTGTTCTGATGAGCTGACAAGCTTATTGGGCGGGGCTCCTCCCTTTGCTGTGTCTCTGCAGGAAGCAGGAAGGGCAGGAGAGAGCCAACCCAATAATGTGTGTCACCTTGTTGGAGAAGAGCCTGAAGCCAGCTTGCCAGGTGAGCAGAAGATTGGAGAGAGGGAGAGAGAGAAGGAGAGAGAGAAAGAGAGAGAGATGGAGAGAGAAAGAGAGGGGGAGCAAAAGGGAGAGAGAGAAAAAGAGAGAGGGAGAGAGAGAAAAAGATTGAGAGGGAGAGGAAAGAGAGAGAAAGAGAGAGAGGGAGAGGAAAGAGAGAGAGGGAGAGGAAAGGGGGAGAGAGGGGAAAGAGAAAGAGGGAAGGAAAGAGAAACAAAGGGAGAGGAAAGAGAGAAAAGACAGAGGGTGAGAGGGAGAAGAAAGAGAGAGAGGAAAGAGAAAGAGAGAGAGAGGAGAGAGAGAGAGGGAGAGGGAGGGAGAGAGAGAGAGAGAGAGAACACATGCACAGCAGCCTCTATTTCTTTTTAATTAAACTCTTCAATCAAGGTCCCTACCCCTTGCGTGTGAGTTTTGTGGCTCCCAATTTTTTTTTTCTCTGGGAAATGGGTCCAAGTGGCTCTTTGAGTGTTTAAGGTTGCAGACCCCTGGGATAGGGGATCAAAGCCATCAGCTAAAATAGTTTAGTTTGGGGGAGTGAGTGAATTTAATAGATGATGATGATACTTAGATGGGCAATGTATACAAGCAAACAGCCAAACTCAAAAAGCACCAAGTACCCCACAGTTCAGCCCCAAGCTACAGATATTCCCTTCTATTGGAATCAATACATTCTATGGGAATATATTTCGGTTTGATAAGTCTCTGAAAATAATTTGCCAGCATTTTCTATATTTATGGCAAGCAAAGTAAATGACAAATGCATATTCATAGTAGAAAGTTATCCTTTCTTTTGATTCCAAGTAAATCATTTAGATAACAAAATATTGCTTGCAAATGACAAACAAAAACAGTTCCCTGAAATAACGCAACAGTTTTAAGTAGTACAAACTATACACTGGACAGAGATCAAAGCTTTGGACCATGCTAAGTATTTGCTTGGAGTTCATTTTCCTACAGACCTTGGAAACAGGATATCACTTCACTCCAATAAATAAACACAAGTAGAAACACACAAGCACTTGACTTTGCTGGCAAGATAATTTCCCCCCTCCCTTTTATTTCCCCCCTCCCTTTAGTTCCTAACACACAATAAAACTCCTTTCCCAAATGGCATCTCTAAAATATACATGTATTTTAATATAGTGTGTTGTCCTAGATATACAATATATAAATGTATGGTTTATTTAAAACTTAGAACATTTTAGATGCATTATAAGTGCTACAGAGAAATTTAAAGAAAAATAGAATGGAATGGTAAGAGGAATGATGGTGGTCACTTACCATTAGTTTTTGTAATGTATCTATACTGAGTGCAGAAAAGAGAGAAATGATTATTATGAATAAGCTAAGTATGGGCTTCTTTAACATACAGAACATCAGATGTTTGATACTCCTATCTGCTCAGTCAGAACATGTTTATTTAGAAATTCCGATCTTACTGTCTTCCTTATGAGATCCAGAGAAAGTCATTCAGGCTGAATCTTTGGAACAATTTTCTCTCATGTGTTCCAGTAAAGGAAGGCCATATAAGACTAGACTTCAAAGAACAATTTGTTTTAGAGTAGGGTGGGTCTCCCAGCATCACATTTATGGCTCTGCGATCTGAAATCACATCACCAAAATTTGGCAGCAAAATGTAAGAAATTCAATTGTTCAAAAAGGACATTTTCCAGTACTTTGAAAAAAAAAGGCTGCTTTCCTTCCTTGGGAACACTGGCTCACATTTTTTTTCCCTTTAATGTTCTTCAGAATGGTCATAAAAGTCTAAAATGGACCAGCTGGGAGCTTTGAAAAGGGTCAAGGGATATATGTAATTACAGTTTGCTTCCAGAGCCCACCTGCTCCCATTCCACAGCTTAAAGTTCCTTTCAGAGGCACCAAAAGGCTGAAAAGAAATGTATCATTTAAGAAGACCTCCAAGATCCTTTTAGCCTTCTGAGTCTATGTTGATCATCTAATCACTCTCTAAAGCACCCTAAAAGATCAAGAAGCTAGGCTGAGGTTCCTGAATGCAGACAGATGAACAATCCCTGCCTTACAGTGTGAGCCTGTCCATGTGTGCTCCTAAATAAGCACTACACAGGTGGACTTATTTCTGGGGGGGGGGAATCAAGGGACACAGTGACAGCTGCCAAGGACTGCATCATAATGTAACTATTACAGAAACCAAATAGGCAGTTCACTCTGTAGTCCTATAGTGGGTAGTTGAAGAAAATACTCAGTGCCTTGTGCATATCTAATTTATGACCAATTCATTCTCAGTTGCACATCAATTTAACACAGAGACCAATTTAACAAGGTGAAATCATTCAACACAGTTTTTAAAACCCGAAATATCTTTTGATCCAGCTTTCTAATGCTACATTTTTTTTTATTTCATTCATTCACGTCCAATTCTTGGAGACTGCCTAGAGAAGTCCTTGCCATTTTCTTGGCAAGGTTTTTCAGAAGTGGTTTGCCATTGTCTCTTCCTAGGGCTGAGAGAAAATGACTGTCCCAAGATTACCCAGTTGTCCTTCTGCCCAACATGGGACTAGAACTCACTGTCTCCCACTGTCTAGTCTGGTGGCTTAGCCACTATGCCAAACTGGCTAGTGTTGCTTGTTGTTGTGTTGTTGTTAATTGCAAAGTCGTGTCCGACCCATCGCAACCCCATGGACAATGTTCCTCCAGGTCTTCCTGTCCTCTACCATCTTCTGGAGTCCATTTAAGTTCACACCTACTGCTTCAGTGTCTCCATCCAGCCATCTCATTCTCTGTCGTCCTCTTCTTCTATTGCCCTCAATCTTTCCCAGCATTAGGCCCTTCTCCAGTGAATTCTTCCTTCTCATCAGGTGGCCAAAGTACTTGAGTTTCAACTTGCTTAACTCCCATCAAATAGAAGAAATGTGTCGTCAAAGTAAAGGATGAAAGATGCCATAGGATTTTGCAGCATTTATATATACTGAATGAGGTCATGCTTTAGTTGTGCTTAGAGCCAATCTATTGAAATCAATGGAAGTCTGATTTCTCTCTTTAAGTGCAATGAATCCCTAGTCCCAAACATAACCAGATCTGGCTCCAATTTGCATGACTTCCCAAACCTAAAGGGCAACTGCAATGTCATAAGCTGCTTACAGGAAGAAAAGCTGGATTTATAAATGTCATTGCAAAATTGGTACATTTGATGTGATGAAATTGACTTATGATAGAGGATATCAAGGCAGTCAATATTTGGGGAGGCAGCTGCCATATTTAGGGAGGCACATCCCATATTTGGAATTTGGGGAGCATGCCTTGTCTGTTTTCATAAAAATAGATGTTGGTGTGCTTGGAATGATTATATAAATATCATTGCATCAAAACAATGTGATGTTTGTACAACACATTTGACTAAGGCTAAATTAGCAGAATTCTTTCCTACCATTCCTTTGGTGTGAAAAAATCTCCCCCTCTTGTTTTATTTTTGAAGAATATTAAAAAGTGAAGCCCAGAAGACATCATGGAAATAAAACGTATAATGCTGCAGGTTGGTATTTTGCTGTGCATTAATTTTTACTTGCTTATTTATTCTTAAGCCACCCTCATGGTAATAAATTCCTATCCTTTCTGACTAGCACAAAAACGTTTGTTCTTGTCACCATGTTCATCTTAACTATGGCGTGTTGCATTGCTCAGACAAGAAACATGCTCCTCGCCTTGAGCTCTGTTGGAGGAAGGCTGAATTTTAAAATGGAAATGCCTATGCAGTATTTAAAAGAGCACATTGTCAGATACAAAAGTTATGAGTTACATTTCTAGCTATAACCATGTAAGACTGAACTAGTTCCAAAGGGTCTGTCTGTCTATCTGTCTATCTGTCTCTTTTTTTCTTGGGGGGGGGGAGGGGTAGGATTACAGAATTAAAATCAGGGATCCATCCATGAAAAGTCTCAGCCTATTAATTTTATGAAGTCATATTCCGGGGGTGATTGACGAGCTTTCTTTGTTTTATTCCCACGAAAATACCATCATTTGTGGGTGTTTGGCATTTTATTCCACTGGCTGTGATTTGTATAGGAAAAATTAAAAAGCGGCTGAAAGAGAGAAAAAGGTTTTCAAAGAAACGATCTTTTATGATGTTTTTACTTCCTCGGGTCCACAGAAAACTACCACAAAATCCCCAAAATATTTATGGAATCTAAATGTGACTTTTAAATCCCCCCTTCTGTAGATTATTTGGTTTGTAAATATGTATTCTGTAAAACACCATTCAAAGGCCTGACAGAAAAACTTAGACATGGATTGTCATAGAGAAAAACTAGTTATATGGTTGCTAGGAGTCAAAAATGGCTTGAAGGTATATAATCTATTATCAATCCTGTAAAAAAAAAAAGTTGAAAAACTCTCCTTTCACTGTTTTAGAGGAAGAGGATCACATGGAGGAATCATCTCTCACACTTTTTTAAAGTGCTAAAAGTCTTCTAAAACCCAATAAGGATCTTATAACATTTTCTCTGTGATGTATTCCAGGCTTTGAAGTTGCCAGAGAAACATTTTGAAGCAAAGCTTTCCTTGGAAACTTTATGGTCTTCTCAACTCTTTATCAAAGGCCTGGAAATATCATTCCTTAACCATACTTAAAACTCTAGCCCCTTTGAAGAAAAAAGCAAAGAGATACATTTCTTTATGTATATGTACATATACATGAATGCACAGTCTTCACAGTGGCTAAGTTTATCCCCCGTTTTTCCTCTGGCATGTTTAGCTGTTCTACTGTGAGATAGGTTGGGCCTCAAAAAGGAACAAATGCTCCAAAAACACCTATTGATCTACAAATTTTTGTGGCTTCTACCATACTAGAATGCTTCTCCTTCCCTTTTAAATGTGAGTTTATGCAAATGAATAAATCCTGTATATTCTACACAATCTAGAACTTATTGTTATGAACAAATCATTTTCATAATAATTAACTCCATCTTTATCTAGCAAGCTTTCCCAGCGTATATGCTATACACACTATTGAAGCCAACATTATTTACGGCAAAACTCAAACACACTCAAATCTGTGTCTTAATATTTTTCAAATGATCCTGTCTCAAAGTTGAGATTAGAATGACCAAATGTCATTCTGAAATGGGAATGGCCTATGAACTTTTAAAGCTCAGTTTAGTTCAGGATAACATACAGAACGTTTCCAAACATTTTGCTGCTATTCTAATGTCTTGGCCTTCTTTCAGAAAATTGATTGCCTCTGCAGGTTTTAAAACCATTATCAATGAAAATAAAGCACACAATATGTACACCCCAAAATAAAATTTCTGCAACCCTCAGAGTTCTCCTGAGCCATTTATTATTTTCTCCAGAACATGAGTGAAACCAGTATGGGTACCCATTAGCATTTAGAATTGAAATATGGGAACCAGAAAAATGGCAATTGAAAGATGAAAGTGAAGAATTACTCATATGTTCTTAAATGGATCAACCCTGACATTGCAAACAAATTCTGAGTATAAGGCATGGTAAAGAAGTTCATTTTTATCATCTTCTCAAAGTGTCCTCTGCCTGGCAAAACTCACATCTGGATGCATCTATATATGTGTGCAGGTGCACGCCTGCATAAAAATAAAAAAGAGAAGAATGTTCAGTTACTTAGGAACAGAAAATACAAAATAGTTGAGAAAATACTTTCATATCAAACTGTGAAGAATTGTCCCAACTGCAAACTTGCTCTATTTTGTTTGTTTGTCCTACTTTTGAGTGTAGTATGCACAGTGAAAACAAATAATCATCATCCATTTCATCTCTGATTTTTCAGAGGTCCTTGATTAATCTATGGGGCCAATATGGGGATAGATATATCAAAGATAAATCTATTTTTTTCCTGCATTCAGTATATACACTCAAACATATGCACACACAAATTTATCATCCATCAACCTTTATCTATCTATCTATCTATCTATCTATCTATCTATCTATCTATCCATCTATCATCTATCTCTATCATCTGTTATCTATCTATCTCGATCTATGTATATCTATCTATATCTCTATCACCTATTATCTATCTATCTATCTATCTATCTATCTATCTATCTATCTATCTATCATTGATCTATCTGTCTGTCTATCTACCTATCTTTAAATGACTGGCAGCTGAAGTGTGACTAACTCCAGTCATTTGGTTCACCTCACATATGCTTCACCTGGCTTTGGCCTAGTGTCGTAAGTTAATTCAGCTGTATATTTCTAAAGTGTGGTTTAGAGCTAAGGACATCATACAATTCCATCCAATCATGATTTATTCAAACCCAGCCAACTATGGATTACTCGTTAACAAGGTCAGGGCTTGGCAAAGCTGTATTTGTCATGCCCATTTCTATCTACAGATCCGGAGTGCATCAACCAAGGATTGAAAATGTTTTATGTCAGACATGTCAAACTCGCGACATCATGTGACGTCATGCAACATATCGGGCTGGTTTTGCCATTGCTGGCAATGGGGTGGGCACAGTTTCCAGATGATGCATCTGGCCCACAGGCCAAGCGTTTGACACCCCTGTTTTATGTAGAGCAAGGAACAGCATTTTCTTGTAATTTTGTTAAGCAAAAGAATGAGAGTCCAATGGTTTAGGACAGGGGTAGGCAACCTTGGCTCTTTTATGACTTGTGGACTTCAACTGCCAGAATTCCTGAGTCAGCTATGCTGAGGGGAAAGGGAGAGATTTCCAAGCTGGCTCAGGAATTCTGGGAGTTGAAGTCCATCAGTCATAGAAGAGCTGAGGTTGCCTACCCCTGGTTTAGGACCTGGATAGTGAAGTGCCCACCATCTTAAGACCCAAAGTTTTCTGCACATTTCACTTTTGTTCTACAAACAATCAGGCCTTATGTCAAAGGTGTAAACTTCATAAACAGATATAGGTTCCACTACTGGATTAAAGAGAAAATTGTGTATTCATGTCTTTTAGTTTCTAAGCACAGTAGTTTCCACCTCTGAATTTTCTTTCAAAGGAAAAAGACATTTCCAAAGGGTTGTCCAAAGCTGCTGCTGATGGTATCATCAGTATAACTTTATTTGACTACTTTAACCAGAATGAATGCATAGCGCCTCATGGTAAAATGTGGATGTGTTACTGTATCTTTATCTGTTTTGCATTTCTGATTAAAAACTAACAAATGACAGCAGACTGCCTGACTGCTACATCAATATAACATTTGTTACTGGAACTTAAAGCTTGGTTATTTAGTATGAATAGGCCAGATTAAAGTCTTATATACTGTAGATCAGTGGTTCTCAACCTTTTTAATGCCGCGACCCCCAACCGGTCGTAAGTTGAGGACTACTCAACTGGTCATAAGTCGAGGACTACTCAACTGGTGCAGCACTGTTTGCAGAATGGGACTTTTGGCGGGCTCAGCAGGGCAGAGACAGCCTGGACAATTCCTATTGGCTTTTGAAAGCCAATAGAATTAGACTCTATTCAAGAGAGTCTATTCTATTGGCTTTCAAAAGCCAATAGAATAAAAGGGAGTAGCACAGCTAAGGAAAAGGGGGGGGGGAAATGGCGGACTGCGTTGTTTGGCAACCCCCGTGAAATGGTTATTTGACCCCAAATGGGGTCCCGACCCACAGGTTGAGAACCATTGCTGTAGATCAATTTATTTTACAATGGTAGTTTTCTTAGGAACTATAACTTTGCAGTTATGATAGGACTGAGGCCTCGGTCTGTACATTTTACAGCTGGACTGAGTAAAAGCATTTTGGAAGGACTCATGGAAAATAAAGAGCAAATGTTAAATCTCCCACTGCCATCAGTCTGGTAATATGCTAAACTTGCAAAAGATGAATTCCCTAAGCAGCATGGAAGGAAGAATCAGTCCAGCTGCCTCCTTAAATCACACAGGAAAGCCTTTACGATCTAATAAAAGGAGCAACAATGATAGCGTTAGATTGTATGATTGTGTCGGTGAATATAAGCAGTGATGAAATGTGTCTAAGTGTCTTCCCAGCCATGAGATCACACAGTGCATCTTTCACAGCCTCTGCTCTGGGGCTGTTAAGATCCACAAAGTTAATACAGTGTAGGTATTGTAGGCCCAAAGGTGCTATTCCAAAAGACAGTTGGACTTCCTTGTTTTTTTTTTCCTTGAAAACATTTTGCTTCTCATCCAAGAAGCTTCTTCAGTTCAGAACTGAAGAAGCTTCTTGGATGAGAAGCAAAACATTTTCAAGGAAAAACCCCCAAGAAAGTCCAGCTGCCTTTTGCAAAAACACCTTTGGGACAACCATGACGTGGATGATTTAGAATCTCCTTAGACATATTGAAGACCCGGCACAAGAAAGTGGAATAGTGTTCCTCGCTAGATGGTGTTCTTCTACTACTTTGCCTTCGACTCCCTAAGAGAGAGTCATAAATGAGACTCACACATTGCAAAAAGCCATGCTTCCACTGGCTGTGGTTTATTTAAAAGTTTAACAGCTCATCTGCAGATGAGCTGACCAGTGGAATGATTTGATCAGGGTACACATACACACACACACACACACACACACAAACACAAGCCAATGTGTTTTGCCTTAACATACAGCCATGTGAAGAAAATGGGCTGAGAATGGCTTCCAAACAGTGCGTTCTTTACCAGCTGAGGTCAGAGAAGTCACTCCCAGGCTACAATCCCAAATGGGCTGGAGTGAGAGAGTTTATACATCTGCTTCTGAAAAAAGGAGAGGGAAATGGCAAACAGCTCCCAGATATCTTGAACAGAGTGGAAGAAGCCAGCACATCTGGGAAGTCTAAATAATTATTACCAAACATGCTAAATCAGCCTAAGCCATGGTCATCCATGCAGCAGCCAGCTGTAAACCTCTCTTTGCTGCAAGACAGTGTCCAGCTTCCTTTGTGAAATCTGACAGACCTTAGTTGAAACCCAACAAATTGATTTCTTAGAAAACATTGAAAAGGGTTATGCTTCAAAGTGGAACTGGGTAGTGCCATCAAGAAAGACAGACGGGATGAAAGATATTAAGGAATTCCAGCCAATTGTGGAGGGTGGAGTGATTTGAAGACCCAAAATGTTACAGCTCCCAAAGTACTGCAGATCCTTGCCACTTTTCTGAATGGATCTTTGAACTACACAGTGGCTTGGATTCAAAGGCAAAGTGGTGCTTTGGAATATCCATGGAGTTCTTTGTCAAACCAAGTTAAACCAATTATGTCTTGTTCTAGCTATGAACATCCAACTGCGGTTGCAGAGGACAGCCATGACAGCTCAGGAAAAACTCAGCTGTTTTAAGGTGCTAAATGAATGAATACATCCACAGGCTCCAAAAGAACTTTGAATCCAAAGCACAATACAGACCTCATGGATTGATTACAGTGACAGATGGAAGATACAGCAGGAAAGCACTGGAAAATTCTTAGTGGAAGATGCGGAGGTCTTCTAAAGCAGGGGTCCCCAACCTTTTGGGCAACAAGGACTGGTTCGGTGGAGAGAGGTTTTGCCACGGACTAGAGGGGGCGTGGTTTTGTGTGCTGTCTGCATCCTGCAGATCGGGCTTTGCTTGTTTGTGCAGACCGGTTGCTGACATGTCGCAGTCCAGTACTGGTCCACAAACCAGGGATTGAGGACCCCTGCTTTAAAGGAGAGGTGGAGAATACATAGCCTATCAAAAGTTGCTGAACTATGGATCCCAACTCCAAATATCAGCCAACACTAGAGTAAATGGATAGGGAAGCCCACATCAGGAGAGCTAATATGATGGAGAGCATGATGACTCAGTGGTTAAGATGCTGGGCTTGCCAGCTAGAAAGCCAACAGCTCAGGTTTGAGACCTGAGCATCATGGAATGGGGTGAGCACCTGTCTCTGCCTAGCTCCTGCCACCTAGCAGTTCGAAAGCATGCAGATGCAAGTAGATAAATAAGTTCCACTTTGGGGGGATGGTAACAGCATTCTATGACATACTAGCTACATGGCTGCGGAAACGTCTTCAGACAACACTGGCTCACGGCCTTGAAACAGAGATGAGTGCTGTCTCCTATAGTCAGCAACAACTAGCAGAGTAAAATCCACAGGGACTCCTTTTCTTCCTTTTCCTTCCTTAACGCAAACTCTAACTGATCAAGTCATGTGTTTGTGCCGTAAAATTCCATTTAGGAGCTGAAATTTGTTTGTTTGTTTGTTTTTAAAGACATATAGCTGCCCAATTTACAAATCAAGCAATTGGCATTAACAGAATTCTAGCTCCTGAAATAAGAAAATGCCTCTCCTTGTAAGAATGATCAGCATTGGAGAACTGGAGAAGAACCATTTAATTATTTTGCATCATCAATTACATCCCCATTTCATGCACACACACACACACACACACAAACTTCCTTATCCTATGCATGTACACGCACTTCCCCCCCCACTTCTGAT